TATTATTTTATCCTAAATAACTAATATGTCTAATTTAGTCATAAAACACTTTCAGACAACTGGAATGTAAGAGTAGTGAAGCCAAATGCAGTATTGGCCTGCCATACAGTGAGCCTGTTGAACTGACCCTCTGCTGTCTGCACTCTGAGCACAAGCCGACATTAGCAAGATGGATTTATGACCTAACGAACATCCAGATCTTTTTATCATCTCTGTGGGTAACAATACATAAAAAAGTTTTTTTCTCCAACAACTTAGGTGTAAAAAAAAAAAAACTACAGTTAAAGCTTCGCTCTGCTCGACGTGCAGTGGGAGGGAGGGAGAGATTATGATCCTGTGACACGATGCAACTTTTCTTCAGTGAGAGGGGAAAATTTGAGGATTTATTCTTTCTATACGTGTCTTAAAACGTTACATTTCTTCATTTATTTTCAGAATATTTTGAATAAACGGCCCCAAAAAAAAAACCTGGTTTACCTGCTCCGGGCAGTCGGGCAGTAGGATTTGTCGAACCCTGCTTTTAGTCATTTGTTGCTTTTTGCTTCATGTTTTGTACATATAGCTTTTTGCTCAAATTTAGTGTGAATGTAGCAAACTGTGGTTTTTATTTTTGTCTTACAGACATGAAGCAAATTAATTATGTCATTAAACCATAGCCTGCTCCAAGTCAATTCCATCAGCTAACTACTAAACTGAGCGTCATTTGTTCCACCTGTAAATCTTGTTTTCTGTTTTCAGATTGACCTCCTGAAGATGCCTCTTGGTAAACTGAGTAAAAGGCAGATCCAGAGCGCCTACGCTCTCCTGACTGAAGTTCAGAAGGTCAGTTATTGATGTGCCTCTCAGAAGGTCATCAGATTGAAGCTAGAACAAATAATCAGGTATTTTATTAGCCATTTAATCAGGTTATTTAAATAACACAGGCTGTATCAGACTGTGAACCTGAGGCACAGATCATCGATCTTTCCAACCGCTTCTACACCCTCATCCCTCACGACTTCGGCATGAAGAATCCCCCTTTGCTGAACAACCTGGACTGCATTCAGGTAAACTCCTCATGTTCATCCCATTGTGGAGAATCCTCTCACTTTAAACATGTAACTGTATATATTCTTTCATCACGCGTCCGTCCAGGCGAAAGTGGAGATGTTGGACAACCTGTTGGACATCGAAGTGGCGTACAGCCTGCTGAGAGGAGGCGCTCAGGACAACGAGCATGATCCCATCGACAGCAACTACGAGAAGCTCAGAACCAAGATCGAGGTTGAGAGCGTCTCCTTAACTCTGCAGCTGAAGTGTTGTCCTCTGGGAACGGAGTGAAACGTGTTTGACGTCTCATAGGTTGTGGACAAGAGCACGCAGGAGGCGGAGGTCATTATTCAGTACGTGAAGAACACGCATGCTGCTACGCACAACACGTACACGCTGGAAGTGCAGGAAGTAAGTTCTTATTTAAGAAAAAAATGGTTCTGTGTGAATTCTTTGAGTAAATCCGTAAAAATAAGAACAGATAGTTGATTTATTTTGCGGTATTTGCTCTTTTCAGATCTTCAAAGTAGCTCGAGAGGGGGAGTACCAACGGTACAGTCCCTTCGAGGAGCTGCACAACCGGCAGCTGCTGTGGCACGGCTCTCGCACCACAAACTACGCCGGGATTTTGTCTCAGGGTCTTCGTATCGCACCTCCTGAAGCCCCGGTGGTGAGTGGCAACGTGTTTGAAGATTTTACTTTGTTCAAAATGCTCCAGTACYGCCCTCTAGTGGCCGGCCCTGATGACATAAAACAGTATATATGACATTCAGTTGTACATTCAGTTGAGCACTTGCTTTGTTTACATTGAGTGTGGACCCACATTTCAGAACTTCATGCTAATACAGTATTTCTGGAAAACTACTGCAGTAAACCTCATTCAAACTGTGTCATTTGGTATTGTTCAAGATGAATTTTTTTACGATATGGTACTTTAGTACCATATCGTAAAAATGTTCACTTCTCTGCTCATTATGATTTTTTTAGACAACTTATGCTAACTTATGAAAAAATTTAAAGACATCTACATTAAAGGTGGAATTGAAAAAATCAACTGGAAGCATCTTTTTAGGTGTGTACATACTGTAATTCTAACAAACTGATCAAATATACAACTTTTATTAGCAATTTAGACATAAAAAATGCTTCATAAGTCAGCATGTGTTGTCTASTGTGACAGGGCCTTAAATTGCATTGAGTAGCTTTAATATTTTCTCACAGCTGTTAGAATTTTTCTTTGGACCAAATGCATTAATTATGGTTTAAAAGTGCTTTGATGTGATATTATCCTCCATAATAACAAGTTTATGACCTTCATTGCCTGAACAGTTTCTCATTTTGTACATTAGTTTCTACCATTTATCAGATGTTTTCTCTCAGGATTTAATGAAAATTAGCTGTCTGTGTGACGTGAGATCTGGACTCTTCGGTATTTCTTACAGAGGGCAGTTTATCCAACACTTTGAATGAAAAGAACAGCTTTGCGAAAGCTCACAACACCAGAGGACGACACTCCTCTGTCACRATGGACACGGTATGCATGCAGACTAAAAGAAGGGAAATGTACATTATGTAATGAAAAAAATAAAAACTCAACATTTTTGATGGTTTTATATTTTTGCAGTCTACTAGGATAGAAAGTCTGATAACACTTATTTAAAAAATATATATTTCTATTCCTGATCAACTCTTTGTTTCCTCAGCCTACAAGGAGCTCAAAAAGGAGCCGTTTTTTTCGGGATGAAGAGGAACCACCACAGCAGCGCAACCCATCCAGATCTCCTCGGAGGAGCCAGCGAGTCAGCACTACGCCACAGGTAAAACAGCTCACGCAGATGGCAGTAATAAGCAGTGATGCAAACGTAGCAACTTTGTAGCTGTGTTTAGTGAGTTTTCAGACGCCTCTAGTGACGATAAAAAAAAAGCAATTGGCTCCAAATAAAGCAACTTTTTTTGTGTCATTGGGGT